CGGAAAACTCCTTAATTTTGAAAATCCCCCTTAAATTGTTTAATATTTGTTCGATTTTTATCAAAAAATTTTAAGGTAATTTTGAAAGAACTTCTGAGCAGGCCACAGTTTCAGAAATTCGAAATTCGAAAATTTTGTCAATACTTTTTTGTACCGAATTTTGGTCAAAATTAAAACTCTCTTAATTTTTATTCGATTTGCACGAAAATTGGTGTGTGGGCAGATCACAAAATATCGATTTAGATTCCGAAAAGAAATTTTCCAAAATTTGCCCGAAACATTCGGAATTACCAAAAATGACAAAAATCAGAGTTTTCGGATTATTTTTGGCGAAAACTTGCAAATTGTTATACGACAGCACTTCGAGTTGTGCAATTTTCTGCTATAGAAATTCCTAACCGTTCATCCGCTATCGCGACAAAAGCAAAATTTAGCAAAAATACATCTTGTCCGCCATTTTTAATCCAAATGTTTTCAAGCTTATTTTGCATTGTCACTTTGAAAAATATCAAAGTCCTCTAGAAGCCCTTTTTTTGAATTTGGACTTTGCCTCCGCACAATCACTGGTCAAAGTTTTTTCTGATAGGTCTTGAATACGAAGGCTGATAACTTTTAACCTTGACCTTCTTCGACTCTTTACCTTCAGCCAAAATAGCGTCTTTGGATCTACGTTCATTTGATACCTTCATTTGTCATTTTGGTAGATTACTTTTGATTTTATGGGGTTTTGAAAATGAATTATTTTCCCAAAATTCGTATTTGCAATTTATAAGAGACATTGCTAGTTTGAGTTCTAATTAAGATATCAAAAAAATTCCAACGGGTAATTAAATTGCAAATTCACATCTTCAATTGGAAGTATGTTAAAAATCAAAATGAAAATATTTTGCAAATTAAATAAATAAAATTACAAAATCAGATTAATTGTTCTCTGGCTAAATTACAGGTCAATGGTTCAACTCAACAGTCTATTATCCATATAACTCAAGTTAAACACTTGA